GATAGATAGATAGATAGATAGATAGATAGATAGATAGATAGATAGATAGATCCTGTGTTCAGCTAGTAGGCTAGTTGCTAGCTCTGACATTCTCTAACTCTGAATTAGAAGCAAGGTAATTGAATGTCTGTGCCTCTGTCTCCTGGTCTATAAAATGGTGATCAGGAATGATACACTCCAGAGTTATAAAGTGTAACATCACATAACAAAGGTGCAGTGCAGGGGTGATGGGATTGTGTGTCTAACCAGATGGCTTCAAAATGAGAAGATTATTCCACATCACCTCAATGGATTCAGTCTAACCACATGAATCCTTAAATTTAGAGATGATTTAATGGCTGAGGAGAAAGAAGAGTTGAAAGAAGAAATCTAAGACTGCAATATGAAATTCAGCCACCATTCCTGACTTTGGAGACGGAGGAAGGTAGCATAATCAACAAGAGCATGTTGAAGATCTTTTATATCCAGCACATGGTCTGCTGTGCTGGGAAAGAAAACTCAATATACTCTCCACTCCCAGTGAATGTGCAGAGAATCGTTTACAAAGAGGCACTCACAAAGAATGTGCAAAGATAAGCATGACCAGAAGTAACACAGCAAAAGATGCTGCTGCGGAGTTCTAAGCTTCTCTTCCCCCATTGTTCACAAAAGAATAAGGCTGCTTGAAGCCCTGAGACTAAGAGTTGGGGGAAAGTAGGTGCTAACGCTGGGCAGTTCATTCAATAGGCAGATCTCAATTCTTAGGAAAGGTGAAGGAGAATGAGGCATCAGACCTTAGGGATTACATCAAGACCTTAAGACATCCCTACAGGAAAAGATCCTGGCCAGCTAAGGAAAGGCAGAGCGTGGAAGTGTGTGATTTTTGACTACTGGCAGTCATGGACCCATAAAGCCAGGAAAAAGAAGAGAGGAAAATCATTTCTGCAGCCTGACTGCACATCAGAAAGCCATGTGAGCGTTCCACAGGCAAGCTCCTCAGCGTCTGTGGCAGAAACAAATAGACCTTCCCCAGGTTACTAAGGAAGGGATGTCAGTGCTCAGCCAGGACTGGGAAGTAGCAGTCAGTGCAGACAGTGTGGAGCCAAACTTCGGAGGTTCTGAACCTCAGACCGCTGGAAGGCACTGAGCTCTTGTTTGCTGTGGGCCTGGCATGAGGAGGGGCCTCCCTGCCAGAGCAACCAGATAGGGATGATGCCAAGAAACCAAAGATGCTTGTGCACCTCCCCCCCCCCAGGTGGGACAGGAGGAAGAGAAAACGCAATCAGCAGCCCACTGGATGGCTGTTCCTGAGGAACACTACCTCCACCCCAGGGGACCCAGTTCTGTGACACATAATGAACTTTAAACAAAAAAGTGTTCATTAAATACTTAAGTTAACATGTGAAATGAAATCTGGAAAGCTGGGGTAGAATGGAAAACCAGTGTTTCACCAAAACAAAATAAGCAAATTGAAAAGGATAGAAGTTTTGGGAGGGGAGCTGAGTTTACTTTCAGGCTTATGGTAAAAAAAAAAAGGCATAATTTAAAAAGAAAAGGTAGTTCAGAGTATGCAAGCAGGTGTAGACATGAGTCGTGGGCCCCTCAACTATAATTCTTGAAACGCCGTCAACCTCTCATGTTGTATTTGCATGGGACAAGCAGACTAAAGGATGAACTGTGCTTCTGACAGGTTACATCTGCTCTGGGACCCGCTGTCACCTGAAGGCCCCTGTGTCTGCTCTAGAGAACTCCCGTTGAATGACAAAGACGCTAAGAACAGTAAGTCCAAGTGGGGAAACGGTGTGGGAAGAATGGGGCCTGTGAAACCCAGCCATCCTCTATTAAAACAGAAGGCAGCAAGGTATGAGTTGCACTCCCAGAATTCACAGTTACCTGCTGACTCCCACTCCACCTCCCACACACCGTGTGCCCACACTCATCACCACCACCACCACCACCACCACCACCACCACCACACCGCACCACCACCAAATCAAGACTGTCCTGTTTCCCCAGGCTCTGAGCTAACAGTATTACTTTAAAGATACCCCAGGTATGGGCACAGAGCTCAGTGGTAAAGCTTGTCTATCAAGTGCGAGGCCTTCGGTATCGTACCCAGTGGGATTTCTTGGTGTTTTTATTTAATAGCATTGGGAAGAAAAAAAAAAAAACATTCAGAGCCTGCCTATTATATTATGTACAGAAATTTAAAAAAAAAATAGGAACTATTCTCTTTCTTACTGGTGCCTTTTCCAACTCTTGAAAATATGTTGTTCTTTTTTTTTTCTTTTGTTTGCTAACTTAACTCTTACAGGACTACATAACATTAGCATCTATGGGAAAAAGGCTAGGTACATTCAGTACCTAGGAAAGATGGAAAGATGGGAGGGGAGGGTCTAGGGGAATGACAGGCTGTCTCCAGAGCTGTGTTTTGCCATCATGTGTCCTGACACATTTAAGAGGCAGAGGAAGAAAATTATATTACAATATATAATAATATATTCACAGTGTATTTTAAAATATTAATGCCATAGCAAAGAACTGAGTTTGGGTGACCTCGATTCCTAGGTTCCTTATTTCAGTTGTGGAAGAAATAGTATCTGAAACACAGAAAATGCCGAAGGCTCATAAATATAAGAGTACCTATTGCTCTGGTGTCAATGTGGTAATAAGCTTACAGAGGGAAAGTTGCCGCATCCCTATATGTGAATTATTTATGATCTGGCCTTCTGTCACTAATATGCCTGCACAATGGAGTTTCTGTGGACTCTATTTTTAACCATTGTTTCTTTGACTCTTGATAAACTTTAAACCATATTACCAAACCTTTGAGGCTGTTGGTTCTAGAAACGGGGCAGTATATGGTCCTGGCGTCTATGTAGACTATTATGTGGGAGAGGGAGGGAGGGAAAGAGAAAGAGAGGGGGAGAAACTGGCTGACTGACTGCTAAAGTTTCAGTGCACAAATAAAACAAATGCACTGTAGGTAGGTTGATTGGCAGAACTGATGGCTGTTTCCACCATGCCTGAATGTTCGTTCTCTTCCCTAGTGGAACTTCCTTCCTGGCCCGTAGATCCTGACCCCTGGCCTTTCTTCTCTCCTATATTTTCCCTCCAATTAAATTACCATGGATTTGGAATTATTTGTCTTTGATGGAGGTACTTTTGCCCTAAAGGTCACCTTTTTTATATGTTCCTAACTATAAAATGAAAGCTGTTTCATTTCGCATCCTTCCACATAATGAGATAAGATAACTGTAAAGGCCTTAAAAATAAACTGGTTTCAGGCATGAAGCTGCCTGAACGAGGCAAATTTAAAACAAAGTTCTGTGTTCAGGCTGCTGCCTTCCCCTCTTTCGTCTCCTAGTCTCGGTTGGCCAGTTCCCAGTCCTCTGCCCAAGAGTGCAGAGGTGAGCTGGACCCCAGTGCCGAGGTGAGCCCCTCCCACTGTGTTCGGTCTTCTCCACCCAGAGCCAGCATCTAACCACAACCCCGGGGGCCTCTCACGCCCACGTAAGAAGTTTTCATCCCACTTGTGCCAGCTCCCAGTTCATTTCCCTCCCTGGTTTACATATTAGGGCCACCTGGATCAGAGTCAGTGCCAATAACTTGTTGACGATGAAGAGAAAGAGTTGTCTGGGCCTGACCTGGTCATCGGGCAGGAACACCCCCCATGTGTGCCTCCAGATAGCCTCTGTGGCAATTTCCAGGACAGTTCTGTTAGCATGCTTCCCAGCAACAGTCAAGATAGGCAGCTTCCTTTTAAATAGAGTCATAATTTTTTGGCTCATAGTATTAGAGCTTTCTGTTCATGATCAGATGTCCCCATTTGGGGGTGGGCTTCACAGCGGGGAAACAGAAACAGACAGTGGAACAAAGCAGCGCATCTCATGACCAAGAAGAAAATCAAGGGAGATAAAGAGACAGTAAAGACCCAGGCATAGATGAGCATAGACATTGCAGAAATGGTGGGGGGAAGCTGCTTAGAGACCACAGAATGGGAAGAGAGGAGGAGGTAAGTGGATGCAGACAGGAAGGTGGACCTTCCACCATGGTGGTATTACAGTGGAGCATCCAATTATTAAGATATGTGGACTTGGCAGGACCACATTGTTTGAGCAGTGTATCAGTACCGTTGGCTTATGATTTTTAAACTTTGAAGTACTGAAAATGCTTGCCTATCCTATGATCAAGGTTTTTGCTTTTCATACAGTCGGTATTTACTAAATGATATGGCATACTCAGCATTTTATTATACACTGGATTTTCTGTGTAATTTTATCCAGCTGTAGGCTAAAATAAATACTCTATGTGCTTTACGGAAGAGGAGGCCAAGATGATGGTTAGGTTAAGAGTGTGAAAGCCTTTGTTGGTCTCCTTTTGAAGCTCCTGTCCCCTTTGTGTCCTTCTATCTGCCCCCCCCCCCGCTTCTTTCATAAGACTCCCTGCGTTCTGCACAGTGTTTGGTTATGGGTCTCTGCATTTGCTTCGATCCTTGGCTGGCTGGAGTCTTTTCAGAGGACCTCTATGATAGGCTCCCCTCCTGTTCCCTCTCTTCCTCTGCTTGTGGCGACCTGTTTGTCTTCTGAATGAGAATCAAGCATCCTCCCCAGGGTCCTTCTTGTTGTTTAACTTCTTTAAATCTGTAGCTTTTATTATGTTTATTCTATATTACATGGCTAATATCCTCTTACAAGTGAGTACATACCATGCATATTTTTCTGCTTCTGGGATATCTCACTCAGGATGATTTTTTCTAGTTCCAATCATTTGCCTGCAAATTTCATGATTTTCTTGTTTTTAATTGCTGAGCATATTCCATTGTGTAAATGTACCACAATTTCTGTATCTACTCTTCGGTTGAAGGACACCTAGGTTGTGTCCAGATTCTGGCAACTATGAATAAAGCTGCTATGAACATAGCTGAACAAATGTCCTGTATATTGTATGGTGGAGCATCTTTGAGGTATATGCTCAGTTGTGGTACACCTGGGTCTTGAGGTAGCACTATGCCCAATTTTCTGAGAAAGCACCAGATTGATTTCCAACGTGGTTGTGGTTGTAGAAGTTTGCACTCCCACCAGCAATGGAGAAGGGTTCCTTTTTCTCCACATCCTCTCCAGCATGTGTTGTCACTTGAGTTTTTGAGCTTATCCATTTTGATGGGTGTTAAATGGAATCTCAGAGTCATTTTGATTTGCATTTTTATGACTAAGGACGTTGAACATTTCTTTAAGTGCCTCTCCACCATTCAATATATATTGAGATTTCTGTTTAGCTCTGCACCCTATTTTTAATTGGATTATTTGGTTTATAGGTGTTTAATTTATTGAGTTCTTTACATATTCTGGATTTTAGCCTTCTGTCAGATGTAGGGTTACTGAAGATCTTTTCCTAGTTTTGTTCTGTTGACAGTGACCTTTGCTTTACAGAAGCTTTTCAGTTTCATGAGGTCCCACTTATTAATTGTTGATTTTAGGACCTGGGCTACAGGGGAGCCAGCAGAGCCATGCATCAACCAAGGACATGCATGGAGATGACCTAGAATCCCTGCACAAATGTAGCCCATGACAGCTCAGTCTCCACATGTGTTCCCTAGTAAGGGGAACAGAAACTGTCTCTGACAGGAACTCAGTTGCTTGCTCTTTGATCACTTTTCCCTGGTGGGGCAAGCTTGCCAGCCCTCAGAGGAAGAAAATCCAGGCAGTCCTGATGAGACTTGATAGGGTAGGGTCAGATGGCAAGAGAGGAGGGCTCCTTCCTTCAGTGGACTAGAGCAGAGAGATGGGAAAGGGGCAAAGAGGGAGTAGGGTGAGACTGGAAGGAGATGGGGGAGTGCTACAATCCGGATATGAAGTGACTAAATTGTTAAATAGATAAACAAATTAATTAATTAATTAATTAATTAATTAATTATAAAATGTGTGAGATTCACTTTGGGGTTCTATTTTTCGATAGTTTAATAGGTTATCACCTGCTATAAATGGAAGGACATCTGCAGTGCTTCATAAAGCATGCTAGAATGAAACAGGCATGCAGATGCTAATGACAAGAAGACTGTGGCTCTGGCTACTTCATCTGAAAAATATTGCCAATGTGACAAGAATTTTTGCTTTATTAGACCACTCCATGGAAGCACAGCAACTAGAAGAGCAAAAAGAAAACCGGGCAAACTCTGTGACACAAAAGTGGCAAAATGCACCCCACTTGAACCATCCTTTTAATACACACGGGCTGCACAGCTTATTAGTAGGACTAAGGCATAAATTGTTTTACAGAGGGCAAAAAGAAGGCATGGGGCCTCCTGTTACCACCAAAAGACAGAGACCTTAAAGTCACCAAAAGCCATCACCACAAAGCTCGGAGGGTGAGTCTGGGAGGACCATCTGGAACCTGTGGGTCTCTCTGGCTCCCGTGTGGGGGTGGACCTGGAGAACCCAGGTGGGCTGGAGTAGTCCGAGCTCCACAGACACTTAAGTGGGACTCCTACACACCGCCTCCAGCCACCCGCCATGTTGAGGAGTAACTGCTGGAAATAGAACCCAAACTGAGCAGGAAGATGGTTTAGGGGCAAAAGGACAAAGAAGAAAGCTGGGTGGATGTGGCAGAAGAGGAAAGAAGCCAGGAGACACTGAAAATAGGACAATGGAGAATGACCCCTCAGCCATGGGGTGCTGGATCCATCTAGATGCACTGTGATGTTTTCTTGTTGACATAATGACAGTGTTGAGTCCTTGAACCTAAAATCGTAAGAGATTAATAATAAACCAAAATACAAC